TGAAAGATATACCTGGTGAGCTTTCTACATTATTCACAACTATTCTTGGGGAAGACAGGGATAGAAGGCTATCGGCAGTCTGTTTCAAGATTCTACTCTGTGCACTCCGTCCGCTTACCCCAGAAGAACTCTATTTTGCTGTCCATTTCAGCGAACAGGAAAAGTGGACTGGTCGCTGGGATCAAGCCAATATCTCGCTGAAGGAGATCACGGCCTTTGTCAGACATGCTTCTAAAGGTCTGGCTGAGGTTTCCACTCTAAATCATGAGAATGCTAGAGTTCAGTTTATACATGAGTCTGTCCGGGACTTTCTCCTTGGCAAAGACAATGACCACCTCTGGTTACAAGCCATCGGAGATTTTAAAATCGACGGGGATGAGTTGTTGAAGAATTGCTGCCTCAAGCAGTTGCGTTCTGTAGACGATCAGTTTGTTAGGGCGATCAGCAATGAAGCTTCCAGGATTCGTAATGATGGCCGGGAGACCTGGAGAAAGCTGCAGGAGAAGATACACAAAAACTATCCGTTTCTTGATTATTCGGCAAATTATATCCTTCATCATGCCAATTTTGCTCAGCGGCATGTTGACCAGGCAACTTTTCTAAAAGTGGACTTCCCTCTCTCACAGTGGCTACGCATATATAATACACTTCATCAGTCCGCCGACGTTATATACCCGGAGACGGAACCAGTGGAACTTTCGGTCATCTTTGCAGAGATGCATTTGGCAAATCTTCTTAGAATTAGTCCACCAGACGGATCTTGCTTTGAAGATAGACATCCTTACGGCTCCTTGATTTGTTTGGCGGTGCGACGCGGAGGAAGGGGCATTGACCTTGATGATACGATTTTAGCACTACTTGAAATCGAGACACGGACTCGGCAGCTCCCTGTTGATATCCGAGCCCTTTCGGAGAAGCATACCTCTGAATATCGTGGTGGTTGTGACTTGGGAACGAGGGAAGGAGTTCGAAAGAAGGGTATCGTCTCTGTTGCAGCCATTGTCGGCCTAGAGCTTGTTATTGCTTTCATCATTGCGCTCAATAACTGTCAGCAATCTCAGCCTCAAGTCAACTTGAAGGATCAGCGCGATCTTGATAAGGCAGCGTTTGTCAACAGCATGCGTTTTCCTGTTGATCAGCAGGATGACAACGGCCGAACACCTCTATCCTATGCTTGTGAAGGAGGTTACAAAGGGATTGTGAGACTATTGCTTGACAGCGGTGCTGCAATTGACTGCATGAACGCCAGCGGCAGGACACCGCTGTGTTATGCAGCAAAACGGGGGCATGAGGAACTTGTCAAATTGCTTCTCAAAAGGTTTACCGCAAGCAATTCAACACTCGACCGGAGCCGCGCTCTCATAAATGCAAAAGACTTGGAGGGAATGACGCCGTTGTCCTATGCTTGTCGAGGTGGTTATGAAAAAGTCACTCGATTACTTCTCGATCACGGTGCTGTTATTGACTGCACAGACGGGGAAGGAAGAACACCGCTTTCGTATGCGGTTGAATACGGTCATAAGGACGTGGTGGAGCTGCTTCTCCAGAGAAGTAGAGCGATGAATTCCGTGGCTGAGATTGGGTGGTCCCATGTGAACATCAAGGATTATAGGGGTCGGACGCCGTTAACCTATGCATGCTTAAGAAACAGCGAAGAACTCGTTAGGCTATTACTCCAGGGTGGTGCTACTGTCAATGTTCTAGATGCAGATGGACGGACGCCCCTATCATGGGCTGCAGGCAGGGGTTACGAGGCCATTGTCAAGCTCCTTGTTGAAACGGGTGCTGACATCGACTTGACTCTTGCGGAACCAGGGAAACATTTTTCGCCGTTGCGATTCGCCTACGAGGCCCATGAGCTTGAGGCTGAATGGTGTTCTAGCTGTGAACTGGAACATTACAATCGCGTTATCAATTATCTTCTCGACAACGGTGCTTCTCCCAATGGTGTAGGCCATGCACCGCCAATTGAAAACGTAGAGATCGTTGCGCAAGCTTCGTCTTCTATCAGCAACTCGCCACATACAACAGTGCTAAAATTGCGGCTCCAGGACGGCAATGAAATGTACATTCGGTACAAAGACTCAAAGACGATAACACCTTGGCACTTTGCCGTCGAGTGGGGATGTGTTGATGTGGTGCGAAGATTTATCAGAAATGGAACAGCGGTCAACCAGGAACTTAGCGAAATCGGCACAGCCTTACATCTGGCTACCTCTTTCAATCATCCTATTGTGGTCGAATGCCTGCTGGACAACGGAGCAGATGTCAATGCAAGAAACGCATCGGGACGCACTGCATTGCATCTTGCACCTAGCCCTGATATTGCCAGGATCCTACTCGAAAATGGGGCAGAGATCAATACCAAGGATAACTACGGGAGGACTGCACTATTCTGTGCTGTCATAGCTGAACGCAAAGAGGTTGTGAAAGCGCTGTTAGATTTGGGTGCAGATACCGAAATAATGGATCATGAGGGACAGTTGGTATTACATGCCTCTGTCAGAGTCCGTCAGGAGTTTAGAATTCTGGACTGCCTACTTGATGGGGGCGCCGACATTGATGGAAAAGATGCACACGGAAGAACTCCCTTGAAGATCGCTGTTGACAGTGGCATGCGCTTGTTCTCCCTGAAGCTGCTACAGAGAGGAGCTGATCCCAATGTTCGAGACTTCGAAGGAGAGACGCCGTTCTTCTCTGCAATCCGCAGAGGAGATACTAATCTTGTAAAGGAAATGCTTAAGGCGGGAGCCGATGCCTATGCGCAGGATAAGGATGGAAGAACGGCTTTTTGGAATGCTTGTGTGCGAGGGCCAGCATCTACGGCGAAAGTGATGCATGAATGGTGTAAAAACACCAAGGCTCTTCATGATAGAGACAGCCATGGAAAGACCCTACTCCATTCTGCAGTTCTTTATGACGATGCCGAGTCCAACTGTTCTTTGATACAGTTTCTTGTTGAGCAAGGGGTCGAACTTGATGCAAAAGATAACGAGGGCAAGTCAGCTTTGTGGTATGCTGGACTCAAGGGTCACGTCAAGGTCATAAAGACATTGCTTCAACTGGGTGCGGATATCCAAACACTCAATGAGAGAGATGCACAGGGAAGGACAGTCTTGCATGCCATTTTTCTTTCACAACGTTGTCCTCGTTACAATCACCTGCGAATTCTAGTTGACAAAGGAGTGGACATCAATGCTATGGACAACGAAGGGAAAACTGCACTGTGGTATGCTTGGAAATTCTTCCCTCAAAGTTACTCTACAGTTGTTGCTGGACTTGGAGTCAATGAGAGCTTCCTGTAGGGAGGGGCGCATGAGCAACATGATGGAGCTGAAGAATAATCTAAATACCGACCTAGGTAACGAGATCCTGCTCATCACTAGGAATCTAGTCTTCACGATCACGCCGGCTTGAAGATCAGCCAAATTTTATAACCCACCAACATGCAAAGAAATGCTTGAATAACAGGAATCAAGTGAGTGGTGACTTGAGATATGACACTCTTAGTCCAAATAACCCACCTGCAACTCCTCAGTCATGCTGTTCACCTCGATCAGTTAATGAAATCAATGCCATAGTTCCAGCGACTCAATTACCATATGGCTTTGGGACGCTACCAAGTTGGATGGAGTTTTGAGTATGTAAGTAGCTAGGTCAAGATGATAGAGCTTCATGGTTGAAAATGATACCGCATTATCATTGAGACACTTGCACACCACGGTGAGGGAAACTTGTGTGAACGAGGGAGTAAAGCAACATCACACTTACTCGAGAAAATACATGGTAAAACACATTTCAGGTATAACTCAAGGCGATCGTTTGCCAAAAGAAACCCTCTTCAAGCGAGTCATTGAAGTTGGTTATGCACTCCGCATTTAGAGAGAGATCATCTTGGCCACCAAACAACACTGAACCAAGGTCACTCTTTTTGTGAATTCCATACTATTACACCCAGCCTGCTCCTCCTTTCTAGACATTGGCCATCATTTCGTTTTGGTTGTAGTACTTACACAAAAAGAGTTAGAGTGTGCCAAGGGAATAGTTGAATCTGGGGGGAGTGTCTACTTCTCCTCCTCAGGCCTCCCCTGAATCTTAGGCTCATACTCTTGCTGCTCAAGAGTCTGCTCCTTCTCCTCAGCCTTCTACTCCCGCTCATCAACGACAGGGGCGGCAGGTGTGTTCTCAATGACGTCACGGGTGGTGGGAGCGTTATCGGACGCATTGATAGCTATGGTATGGTTCCTGCCTGTGAAGTTCTTGACATTTCTTATGTATGTCGATGTATGTGTGTGTGAATGCTGTTGCAACTGTCCGTTCTTCAAGATGTTCGAGTGGTGAATGGTAATGTCCTGAGTGTTTCCAGGGCTGAGGGTGGGAGGGTGTTTATAGGGTTTTCTGAACCAATGCATAGCGTTCAGTCTTAAAGTGTGGGCGCTTCAACGCTGCATCTCGGATTCTCACTGCCATGTTGTTTGAGGGTGCAACAGCGTGGGCTGCTTGGGAAGAGGGATGAAATGTGCTTGAAAGGAAAACAAAGCGGAGTTAGATCGCTCGTTGATAGACAGTTGCCTGGTTGGTGGGTCATCTTCTGTGTCTGAGCAAAAGAACATGATTCTTATTGATTCCTATGGTGTCACATTTTGAGCTTTGTCATTTAGCTCCTGTTCCAATGTGTTTGAGATCACAAGTGATCAGCAGTGGTGTTTGTCCTGTGTTCGGAAGTTGCAATCCCTCAGGGGCAGTAAACAATGAGGTCATCTCCAGGGCAACCAGGCACTTTGAGAAGGATCTATCCCCATTACTTGGCAGCAGTCTCTGGGATTCTGGTTACCATGAACTCCAGAAATAACTTCGCATCACTCGCGCGGTTTCTTTCAGCCCTCTGCAGCTTTTATGGACCCGAGCATTGCCATAAGTCGATAAGTTATGAGGCTCAAAACTTGATAAATGCTAAGGAACCATAGATTATCTATGACACAGCACAAAGTCACCAGATATCAAGTTCTGCTCGAAGATTGTGGTAGAGCCGCCATGAACCTCATAATCCCTTCTAATATTGCCTTCGGCGTTGGCTGCTCAGCGCACACCTCCGGCTCATAACCAAACTTCGTCACCAGGTGTGCTTTTGTGGTTTTCCCAATTGTAGCAATAAATGTACTCGTAGTTGTCTTCTCATCCAGGTTTGACTTCGGTTTTGCCCTCCCCGTTTTTTCATCAAGGAACCCCAGCGCGGCCAACATGGCTTCGCACCCGCTTGGCGAGAAAACGACCACCCACCGGACCGGAAAATTAACCGTCTCACCTAGGCGCTGCGCAAAGTCCTCCCGAAACGATGCCAACTCTGCCGTGCCGTAAACCACCACCTCGTCGACACGCCAGCCGGCTTGTTCCCGCAGCACGCGCGGGATGACGTCGCGATGCTTCTCGCCAACGAGGAAAAGAAGGGGCGGCTTCTTTTCACGGTCCGCATACCTTTTACTGTAATCCTCGATGATAAAGGGAGCCAGCTCATCGGCTGCGCCGGTGTGCTCTCCAATGACTTGGAGCGGAGGATTTAGCGGGATAGCACGCAACGCACGGGTTGTCGCCGGGCCCACGCTGTACACGGGAATATCCTCAAGATCGGGCCACGAGACTTGTTCATTCTGAGGGTTGTTCCCATTGTCACCTGTGGAAAAAATGCTCACCTTAGCACCACGACTTTCCTTACAGGCTTGTCAGTCAACTCCCTCAGTGAGCAACTGAAGTTCCCTCACCTCCTACGCCAGCCGTTTTCTTCTCAGCAACTAGCAAGGCGAACGCCTCAACAGCACGCTGTGAGGTGAAAATGAGCCCGCCGTAGGCACATTCTTGACAGTTACCGATGGCACGCAGTTTGAGCAATGAGCGTACTTGGGCAAGTCCGGTATCATCGAAGCGGTGTTCAAGTACGGGGACAAAGGATGGGGAGAAGGGTTCGCCATTCGGGGATGTTGATGAGGCGAAGAGATCCTCATATGCGTCTGTTGGAGAGGATCGCGTTTTGAGAAGGAAGACTGGAATTGAAGTTGGCATAATGAAAACTGTGATGCGTGATGTTGATGACGAGGGCCTCCATTGACTGACTGGGTCCTGATGAACCTATGAGCTCAACCCCTCGTCCTATCGGGCCCCACTCTTATCGATACTTGGCATATAAACCCCCCATATTATCGATATCAAATTTTATCGATAAGAAAATCGGCAGGTTCTTGTCCAATCAACTGCAAACGTCCGTCACCAGCTGCCGCCGGTGACTCGATCTGTAATTGAAGCCATCACCATCCCTTTCCACTGTTCGTGGTTTTCTTACGCCCAGATGGCGGACGACACACAAGACAAGCAGCAGGTTGCTGCTCCGGCGCAAGACCAGGCTGCCGCTGGCACTGCTACCTCAGAACCGCCAAAAAAGATCCCAAAGGGCGTCATCCTGGGCAAGGACGGCAAGCCGTAAGCCCCCTTCCTCCCCCTTCACCTACAGACCCGCTGTTCAAGACAAACATTAAGCCCTATCCCCAGCTGTCGGACCTGTACCTCCTTCGCCGCCTGGGCCCAACAAACCAAGTCTTCTCTCAAAGCGCAACAACAAGCCCCTCCCAAAGACTGCCCCCCCGACGTGGAACAACTCGGCCGTAGTTCCTGGACCCTTTTGCATTCCATTGCCGCGACCTACCCAACCCAGCCGTCTCCCACAGAACAGGCCGACCTGCAGCGGTTTATCAAGTTGTTCGGAAAGTTCTACCCGTGCTGGGTGTGTGCCGAGGATTTTCAGAAGTATGTGGAGGAAAAGGGAGTGAAGACGGGTAGCCGGGACGAGTTCGGGACTTGGCTGTGCGAGGCGCATAATGAGGTAAACAGGAAGTTGGGTAAGCCGACGTTTGATTGTAGTCGGTGGGAGGAGAGGTGGCGGACGGGGTGGAAAGATGGGAGATGTGATTAGGGGGGGTTGAATATGCCATTGGGGCCAGAAAGGGGCAATGGGCAGCGTTGATGACCCTACAATGGGTGATGTAGAATATTTTGTAACATAAAAGGCTGGAAGAGTCGATAGACGGAGTTAGGCGTTGGGTAAGTTGTAGATGACACGAGACCCTTAACTCGTTGATTCACCTATCATGTTTCTGGAAGCTGACAACTCAAGTTTACACTATACTTGTCAAACACACACAGTAGAACAACTATAGGCGATCTGTGAGTAATGAGCAGACAGATCTCCAAACCCGACCCACGCAAAACCCGCCATGGCACGGCCGAGCCCTCCGGCTGGGCCGTGCCGTGCGGAGTCAAGATCACAGAACTAACCCACATCGTACGTCATTGATGTCATGATTCATCAACATCTATGTCAAGAGCTTGTTGACTGTTCTCCTGTGGAAGCAATGCTTACCAACCACCCTGTGATAACAGCCGGATCTCCTTGTTCTCTGACAGTGTGTACTATAGATCTATAAGTCCTTTAACTGGCTGGAGGCTACCTGCTCAGCACCTGACAGAATTCTTCGGCAAGATCTGAGAGTTTGGACATCACATATTCAACATGACTGGTACCAGCATCCGTCAACAGAGCCTCCAGAAGCCGGTCACGGTGGCCGAGTACCTGTTTACACGCCTGCACCAGATCGGCATCCGCTCTGTGCATGGCCTGCCGGGAGACTTCAACCTCGTTGCGTTAGACTACATCCCCAAGGCCGGTCTCAAATGGGTGGGCAGTGTAAATGAGCTGAATGCGGGTGAGCCTCACTCTCATACTGACTTCCCCAAACTCCTTGACTAATACCCGTCTTAGCCTACGCCGCCGACGGGTACGCCCGTATCAAGAATATCTCAGCCCTCGTTACAACCTTCGGCGTAGGCGAGCTCTCCGCCATCAACGGCATAGCCGGCGCCTTCTCCGAACACGTGCCCATCGTCCACATCGTGGGCTGTCCCTCAACCATCTCCCAGCGCAACGGCATGCTTTTGCACCACACGCTGGGTAACGGCGACTTCACAGTGTTCTACACCATGGCCGAACAGATCGCGTGCAACTCGGCGCGGCTGACCACGCCGGCGAATATTCCTGATCAGATTGACCATGCCATTAGGCAGTGTTATATCAGAAGCAGACCGGTTTATTTGATGCTACCGACAGACATGGTTGAGAAGAAGGTTGAGGGGGCGAGGTTAGAGCAGGCGATTGATTTGACTGAGCCGCCGAATGATCCTGCGAGGGAGGATTATGTTGTGGATGTGGTGCTGAGATACCTGCATGCTGCAAGGACCCCAGTTGTATTGGTCGACGCCTGCGCGGTGCGTCATCGCGTGGTAGATGAGGTTCAGGCGCTGGTTGAGAAGGCGAAGCTACCTGTCTTCGTCACACCCATGGGAAAGGGCGCTGTGGATGAGGATAGCGATGCCTACGGCGGGGTGTATGCGGGTACGGGGTCACATCCTGCTGTTTCGCAACAGGTTGAGTCGAGTGATTTGGTGCTGAGTGTGGGAGCGCTGAAAAGTGATTTTAACACGACAGGCTTCTCGTACCGGACAAGTCAGTTGAGTATGATTGAGTTTCACTCGACACATTGTACAGTGAGGTACTCAGAGTATCCGGGGGTTAGGATGCGGGGTGTATTAAGGAAGGTTACCGAGAGGTTAGATGTCGATAAGATGGTTTGGAAAGGCGAGGGAAAGTTGCCGCCGCGGGTGGTCAATAAGGTTGAGGATAATAGGGATCCAGGGCAGGAGATAAAGCAGGCGTATTTTTGGCCCAGGATTGGTGAGTATTTGAAGGAAAGGGATATTGTGGTTACGGAAACAGGGACGGCGAATTTCGGTATCTGGGAGACCAAGTTCCCCAGAGGTGTTACGGGCGTCAACCAGATTCTCTGGGGAAGCATTGGCTGGGCTGTTGGAGCCGCTCAAGGCGCAGCGCTCGCAGCACGAGATGCTGGCTCGAAGAGGAGGACCGTTCTTTTCGTTGGCGATGGAGCCTTCCAGCTGACTGTTCAGGAACTATCAACTATGATCCGGCTGGGGCTTGACATCACCATGTATGTCCCCTTCAGATCATGAAAATGAACATCTTGTGCTAATTTGCATCTAGCTTCCTCCTCTACAACGAAGGCTTCACTATTGAGCGCTTCATCCACGGCATGGACGCTGGGTACAACGATATTGCGCGGTGGCAGTACGCCGACATCCCACGCGTGTTTGGAGCCACAGAAAAGCAAGCCCGTTCTTTCGTCATCAAGACGAAGGACGAGCTCGAACGTCTGCTGAAGGACCCTTCCTTCTGCGATGGCAAAGGGGTCCAGCTTGTTGAGCTGTGGATGCCGCGTGAGGATGCGCCGCGCGCACTGAAGATTACGACGGAGGTAGCGGCTAGGACGAATGCGCTGGTTGAGGAGTAAGAAGTGTACAGGTTAGAAGATGTAAAATGTAAAATTATATGCAATTTAGGGACTTGACTTTTCATTGTGATTGTCGGACAGACTACTTTGACAGGTCGTTAGGGATTAGGTTAATACTGTACTATATACATGAGTCTCAGGAACTCAACAAAAATGTTGGAACTGGGGGTTAGGCGACGCTTGTTTGCAAAGCTGCACCTTGTAATATTGATCCTAGAGGCATTACCGTACCGTATAACATTTCTCAAAGTTCCGGGGTCCGGGTTTTATCTTCATCCGCTGTTAACGAGACCATGTGCCCCATTTCTACCAGGAAGTATGCAACTGAAATAGTGCTATCAGAAGACTTGGGATTCAGGATAAAGCTGCCTCGTCTTGCTCTACCAATGTTGTGATACATGTTCTTGAGGGAGGACATGCCAAACAAGGGGCTGTTGAATGATGTCACGTGACCGGATTGGCATGGAGCTCAAAAGCTCATCGACGACAGTTTCATCTCTTCTCACAAGTTAATCACCTCCTAAACTCAACATATTGGGGGAGCAAACTTCTCGAAAAGTGAATGCAACTCATCTGACGGCCCGTGTTTCTTATCTTTTGCTAGCGGGATTTTTTTTCTAGTTTCAATTGATCCATTGGCCCACCGCCTTCGACCTTGACTCTCACTCGCCAGTATCAACGCGCAACCTCCCTCCCATATCAAGCCAACAAAACTCTCCAAACACCATGGCCGACAGCGTCAAGCGCAAAGAGGCACCCGGAGGCGGGGCAGGTCAGCCACGACCTAAGAAAAAAAAGGTATGCGCAGCCGAAAAGGCCACACAAACTGCAAATCACCCACACACACCAGCCACGGGTTGAAAAATCGACAACCACATGGCGGCGCATTACATTCGTCGACTGCCGACGTACATACATACATGTACATTCTGCTGCATCATTACCGGCCGGGATGACTAGCCGTCTGGCTGCCACTCGAACCATGCAGCCGCCATCAAGCCCCAGCAGAGTGATGTGGCGCCCCTACATACACTACTGCACTCACTACCTACACTAGGGAGTGCTATCTTTAGTATCACTCTCTTGTCCTTTCTTTGTTTACGGATATTACATACCTTAAACACCATGATACCTGATAAAACATGCTGACAATCATGTGACAATCTGGCTGACCGAGTTTCTGTGTGTACAGACAGGAAATGCAGGGAAGTGGAAGACGCCGCACCAGTTGGCCAAGATTGCGGCATTGGAGTACAACACAGTCAACCCGGGTGACCAGGGCGTCTGGGTGACATGTGCCAGGCAGCGGGAGGTCAAGGCGTCGAGGGAGATTCAGATCTTGTTTGCTGAGGTGTGTGTCTTCCTCTCGATCTCGGTGCTACTATCTTACTCATGAGCGTGTGTAGTACGCCGAAAAGCTCTACGGCATTAAATCTGTCTTAGACAGCTCTCCCCCCAAAAAGGACGACGCAGCTAAGAAAGATAACGGAGATGACTCCGACTCGGAGCCATCCGACATCGAAGCGGCCATCAAAAAGGAGGTTGCTGCGCTGACATCCAAGCCGGACCCCTCTTCAGATAGCTCACAAAAGGACAGCCAGGCCAATACGGCAAACCGCATGGTTCCGATCCGGCTCAACGTCGATTGCCTGCTGTTCGTAAAGACCCAACCGCCAGTGAATCCAGTTGAGTTTGTGAAGCGCATTTGTGAGGATGCGGCTAAGCTGAGCGCTTCCACTGAGAGTAATGGCTGTGGGGATGCTGCGGTCAGCAAAAATCCCGAGACCAAGACCATGTTCCGGTGCCGATACGTCAATCGACTGACGCCGGTCAGTGCGACGGGCAAGGCGACGGAGCAGGGGCTAATAGAAGTTGCGAGGAAAGTGTTGGAGGAGTGGTTTGATTTGAGTGGGAAGAGGGGACAGCAGCAGCAAAAGGGAGAGGGGAAGGACAAAAAGGAGGGGCCAGAGCAAGCAGAGAAGAACGATGATGCCGGTGCTCAAGAGGGCGAGCAGCAACAGGTGGGAAAGAAGCCGTATACGGTGAGTCTGATGCTGTTGTAGATCAAGACCTTCACCAAAGGGACTCGCTGACTTTGACCGCAACAGTTCGCCATCCGCCCGACCATCCGTAACCACAGCACATTGACGCGCGATGTGATTATCAATACGGTTGCCGGGCTGATTAATGATGAGAGGCATAAAGTTAACCTGAAGGCGCCGGATAAGGTTATTTTGATTGATATCTACCAGGTAAGTCAAGTTTCTTTTTACTTCCTCACTACCATTATGCTATGGTCGCATGGCTAACTGGCATGCAGAATGTTTGCGGTATGAGTGTCGTTGATGGCGACTGGGAGGCTCTTCGGAAGTACAACCTCACCGAGCTGTACGGTGTGAGGCCGGAGAAGAAGGAGAAAGAGCAGAAAGCAGGGGGTGCTTAATCACAATTGATACTATCACAAAAATGGCATATTGCACTCGCCATCCGTGGCGCCAGATATCACAATGGCCTTCAACCTTGATGCATGATGCCTAGTCATCCATCCTTCCCGCGGGGCAAGCAGTATGAGCGTTTATGGTCGTGTTGTTGTTTATCACTTCACACCTGTTTTGCAGCTCTGCAAGGGGCAGCGCTAAGCCCTATTCTAGATATTTTTGACGAGACGGGCCGGAACGGTGCGGACGGGCAGCAGCGGGCAGAAGACACTCTACCAAGAACCATGGACCCGTCCTATTCTTTTCAGTCAATTGTCCCAAGTTCCCGGGACGACAACTGCGGAACCACACCGGGATCCTCGGGATCAGTGATAGTCCTAAGTCTTGGGGTTGGTCAAGCTAATTTAGCCGCATTTTTGAATGCAGATGAATCGTCGCCTTTTCGATGCCCCTCACACTACACGCCAGCACTCGGCAAAAGCTACAGACCAACAGACCAAGGCTTCCGGCTCTTGAGGTGGAATTTGTGTTGAATGGTTGATGTTTTCGGGCTCCAGTGTATGTTGCGAGTTTGTAGAACGGATGGAGCTTTTCGGGGTCCACTGGATAGTTTTAGAGCGACGTTCTTGTCAAGATGAAGGCCGGTGATGAACGAACGGTTTTGTCGTCTGCTGGAGACCAGACTCCATCGAGACTGGAGTCCGGCGATCGAGATCCTGTTCGCGCCGCGTGGAGGTGGCTGTAATGGTACGAAATGGTTACTTAGGTGTGTAAAGTTACCGTAATATGTGGGGACAGTTTTGTATGCTGTGTAATAATACAGGCACGCAAGCACGGGGCAAATGTCCCAGGAGGGAGAAGTTTGCGTGAAGCAGGTTGCAATTCTGGCTTGAGACAATGCATCAGGATGACGGCTAGATTGTCCGCGGTATCAGACCGCAGGACTTGCCATGCTTCCAGGTCACATACACTCTGCTTTGTTCCTGCCGGCCCCAGACGTCCATGCCATGTCAAAGTCCCATTAAGTGCCAGTGCGGGACTGCGGGTTTCCCAGTCGCTGTCCCAAGTTTGAGAAGGCCCACAGCCTTTCGCTTAGCGCTGGCCAATCACGGACCGCTTCGCTCGCTTGTAGGTCCACTGGTGTGCGGATTTAGGAGGGAGAGTGGGAATATCGTGAGTCGATCTCTCGAAAATCCGGAGCTCCTTGGGCTGCGGCCAATCCAACCAACCATTGCTTCGCATGCAGCATCAAGTACCCAAGACCACAAGCAAGTTCGCAAAAATTCTGCGAGACCGGAGAACTGACATACAGATGGACGGGGTCTTTTTGACCCGGACCTGAGAGCGATCAATTACCTCGGACTCGTTCTCGCGCGACTGCACGCACGAGTCAATTGCCCGAAGCAGCGATCCGCATTGGATTGGACAAGTGGGAGAACCGTTGGCTCGTTCGCTTGTCATTGCCTTACGGAGACTTGTCGGGGAATTTTTATAGTAATACAATATTGGGCTTGGGACGATGGGTGGATGGATGGAGCGAAGCTGTGTCTGCGTGGTTCCCGAATCCGATGTCAGGACATCCATCTCATGAAAGTTACGAACGTTGCACGGGATTTTCAGATGATAAAACAGGCAACAAAGGCAACAAATATAACGAGCGAGAGACTACGGATTAACAGGCGGAGGGTGGCATTGCAGAACCACTTGTCCGCGAGCCCACCTCTCGGTACCATGACAGCTGACGATGGGATGCTCGGTGGGCAAACGGGTAATACGCATTTGAGTTGAAGCTGCTGTGTAGGGGTGAGCTCTAAGGATCTCAGGATTTTACAGAATGATGATGTGATGATGCCAATTGGGAAGGTCAAGACGATGTTTAACTCCTTGCTCGACTCTAGTGCCGCATCTCCACATTTTCTTCCAGATAGGACTACCTACAGCCCTGGGAACGACGGCGCGTTGCACGGGTCAACGGCGGCGCATCCAACCTACATTTGGTGATGTCCTGGATGCCTGTTTGTTGATGAAAGGCTTCACACACATTGTCTCCGTACCTGAGGACAGCATAGCTGTAGTGTAAATCTGGCGAGAGACATGCGTCGCGCCGCTGGTGCCACGTTCTTTTTGTGCGACATTCTGGCATCGCATAGAAGAGCTGACGACTTACACGGTAGTGGTCCATATTGGTATTATCGCACCGGCACTTCTGTAAGCCAGCAACATCAATCCTGGACATAACAAGCGAGCGAGCCCCAGCCGGCCCAGCCCACGCTGTCCGTTCATTTGTTGTCCGCTGCCCACGCCAGGAGCGAAACGTCCGGCGGGCAGGCGACCGTCTGTCAGTCTGGCCGCCAGGCGGCTGACCGCCCAGCCGGTTCTCGCGCTTCTTGGCTTAAGACAAGGAACTCTGATGAACAGGCCTTGTCTGCTCGCTCGCTACTCGCCGCCGCTTATTCGTCCGCGTCCCAGCCCTGCTCCACGATCTGTCGCTTGGCGGCGCCTTCCAGAACGCCGCCTATGTAAATTTACGCTATGACGTACTGATTACGGCTTACATGACAAGCAAAGACCAGCTTTTCGGGCTCCTCGCTTTTCTCCCTTGCCTCCCCACGGGGTTTGGTGTTCTTCAGAACGGGAGGGTAGAGCAACGAAGATGGTAGGGTTGGCAATGTAGAGTGGTCTTGATGGGGTTAGACTATCCGCAACTAACGAGAGATGGACCGGATAGACGGTCTCTTCCGTTGTGTTGGTGTTGTGTGCGCTTCTTTTTCTGGGCTAATCCCTCCATTCTGGGTCTGACGGGTCGAAAATGAATGCGTTGGACCCGATCTTGTCTTCGTTGTCGCTAAGATATGCCTCGAAGAGTTGTCGTTTTGCCTGACGTCTTATGCCGTTCATGACTTGGTGACCTGCCTAAGTTAGCCACGCTGAACTGACACCTCGGCGAGCAACTCTCTCGCCTGCATACGCCGGATACGTTATCTGGGGTTTTTATGTAGAGTCATATATGCTGTTGATGTAAGTGGCTGCGGGTGGCGTATTGTTTCTCTTCCATCGGAATCTTGCCTGGAGCTGCCATGAAACATGTCGCCGACGTCGTTCTCCTCGTCATTTCTGACCTCGTGGTATACTGACCTTCCTAGAGACCACGCAATATACCTCCGTTTTCTCGAAAATCAATTAGCATATCTCGACCAGTTCCGGAAAAGGAGACCACAACCATCGAGCCAGATCAATCTACGACAGTTTAGACAACAGCCCCTTAAACGACATCGACAAGCCTGGACTCTAACGGCCCTTGATCCCAAGGACATTCCCGCGGCCTACTATCGACCGTCGACCACAATGTGCCAATCCCCTTCCCAAGATACCCTCAGTCCCCTTCTCTCTCCAATTCTAAAACCGGGAGAAACGGTCACCTTCATCTCGCCCTTGCGTTCCCCCCGACCACATCGAATATATCGTGTCACAATATCCGATGGCCGAACATTACACTTAATCCTCCCTCCCTCGCCATCAGTGTGGCGTCCACTACGGTCAGAGCAGGAGTCTATTATGGGGGAAGCGGCCACTGTTTCGTGGATCACGGGGCAAGTTGAGCAGCGTTCGAGGGGCAGACGGTTATCTGAGAACCAGGGAGGGAAGAGTGAGGGTCGAAAAAGGGGGGAAAGGGAAACTGAAAAGCAGCAGGAGCTAAAAGAGCAGCAAAACAACCAGGACAGCAAAGGAGAACAAAAAGAACAGCAGCCAGAGCATTCAACCTCCTTACAACGACCCCGATCCAACGACGATAACCCCCTCCCAGCCCTCCTTCCGACCCTCCTTTACCAAGGCCCCTCCCCCTCGCCCTTCCCGAACACTGCCCCCTCCTCCTACGCGATCTACCAACCAACTGAAGGCACCCCAATCTCTTTCCTCCCCCAACCCCTCAGTCCACAAGCTCAAACCAACATCGACTTCCAACTCGGTCGTCTCTTCCGTCACCTCGCCCAATTCACCTCCCCAACAGGCCGTTTTGGGCCCGTCCCCGCTGTCCTAGCAGCACAGGGCTCCCCAGGTCCTAGACCTTCCTCCCCCGGAGCGCCCCCAACAATAACCGACTCTCCCCCGGGATTCCAACTCGCGATCCCTGCCCCGGGAGGAGGGAGTTTGATGTCGACGGGGGGAGCGGCGGCGTGGTCAACTGCGTTTCATTCCATGCTGGAAGGGGTATTGAGGGATGGGGAGGATATGGCGGTTGCGATACCGTATGCTACGATAAGGAGGCATTTTCGACGGTTGGGTTATGTATTGGATGCGGTTAGGGAGGGGAGGTTGGTTGTTGTTAGGGGTGGGAAGGAAGGGGTTGTTCTTGTGAAGAAGGAGGAGGAGGAAGAGGAAGAAGAGGGAGAGAAAGGGGGGTATAAGTTGAGAGGGCTAGGAGATTGGAGTAGTGCCGTGTTTGGGGACGTATTGTTGGCGACGGTATTTAGTGATCCATTGGTTAAGGAGGGGGGTGTGAGGGAGGGGTTTGTTAGAGGGTTTAATGGGGAGGGACTGCCGCCATCAACATCGGCGAGTGAACAAGGCAGCACTACAACGCAGTTTGTCGACCTTATGCAGACCATCGACCCTTCCCTCGTTCAATCTCCAGAAACAGCCCCGACTCGAATCCTCCTCTACCAAGTTTACCATGCGGTATCGCGCATAGTCTCCGAGTTTTATCGACCATCGCGGGCAGAGGGCAGTACGAGCAGTGAGCTTGAGGCAAGGAAAAAGTTGAACGAGGTGTTGGCGAAACTAACCAAGGTGTCGGATTATCCTCTGGTGTCACCATCACAACCACAGGTGCAAGCACAGGAGTTAGGATCACAACGCCAAGCAGTGCGAGTTCAATATCCGCAACACCATTGGGGAGAATGGTATCCATCGATACAGCAACAGCAACTAACGTTGGGGGAGGGATCAGCAAAGGGGGATAAGAAGGACACGCTGTTAAGGAAACATCGTAGGATGAGCGGAGAGATGAGTCCGGCTAAGAAGGTCAAGTCGGATGATGAAGATGATGGGAAATAAACAACAGAAGTCAGAGGGCAAGAAGATATGGACGTCATGAATATTATGTCATAGACCTTGAATAGGTGGTTTGGGTATCAGTCAGCATATAGACTACACGAGGATATGAACAATATACCATCAAGTTACTCTTCATCGGATTCGCCATCATCCCTTGGTAGTGCGACGCCCATCAGGCCCAACAAATTCCCTGCCGGCCCGGCCATGCCCGCCTGGCCCTTGAAACTCTCAAGAAGGTTCTTCGCCAGATTGTAGTCAATATCAACTTCCTCATCACCACTCTTTTCATCCTCTTCCTCACTTCCACTCTCCACAGCCTTCGCTTTACCCTTCCCCTTGATATCCTTGATGGCCTTTTGCCCCCTGTCGTCCTTCGGCTTGGGGTCCAAATCCAACGCCCCGTGCCCCTTAAGCTCCGCCTCGAATTGCTCCATGAGCTCTTGGATCTCTTCGTCCTCACTCTTTTCGCTAGCTGTTTCTTTCACAGCCTTCTCCTTACCGCTAGGCTCAGGAACGTCGCCCTTGAGGCCCATCATCTCGCGCATCATCCGCGCAAACTTCTGTTCATCAAACTGTACCTCTTTGTCCTCATCCTCTTCCTGACTTAAGCTGCTGTCGCAACTACTGCTGGTACGGCCATCCCCCAGCTCGCTGCCATCATCCTGATCCATCTCCTCAAACTCAGCCCCATCAATCCCTGCGCGCTCGTCACTCAGAAACGCCTCGAACCGTTCCACGATCTTCCTCAGATCAGCCTGCATCGCAGCATCCCCAAACCCTTGACCCTTGTCTTTCTTCCCCTTCCCATCAAGCTCCTTCTCAAACTCGCGCCAATCCACATCCATCCAGCTATCATCATCCTCCCTGCTAACCCAGTCCCATCCTCTGATGTCATTATCTGTAGGCAACACCCCTTCCCCATCTTCCTCAAAGTCCTCCAGCCATATCGCCACCTCTCTTGTTGCTCTACTCGCACTTTCGTTTGCTCCTTTGGCGAGCAACTCGAAGCCCGTTGTCAACTTGATGCCCAATTCCAGCTTTGCCAACTTCTTCGCTGCCTCGGCTGTTGCGCTAGGCGCCGCAGTTGCGGCATGCACCTCGGCCGCATCAAGTACTGATTTCCATGCCGGCGGGACATTGGGGAAACGCTGCGACTTGAGCTGTGCGTAGAGGGTACGTGTGAAGCGGATGGAGACTGTGACCAGGTCTGTTGGAGGGAATGTGAGTTGTGATGATGTGCTAGGCGCATACAGAGAGCGCAGGGATTGCGCATCACGGAGGTAGAACGCTTCAACAGCTGGGGCGATGGAATGCGGGAGGTCGTGGAGCAGGCCAGCCAGTTTGCGGGGGATTGTGGCCTGTGCATAATGATATGTTGCTGTGGTTAAATGGGCGGGGTATTTTTGAAGGCGATAAAAAGCTTCTGCCTCGAGAGCTGGGATATGAAACAAGGAAGTTGGGCAGAGCCGGATGGTGGTGAGGGCTTCGGCTAAGGGGAGGGGTTTCGTAGTCAAGGCGAGATCCCCTATCGTCGGGGGAGGGGGGATGATGCGGAGTTGACCGTTGTGTATCCAGACGCGGTTGGCGTCGTTTTCCGGGGAGAGCCATTTCAGAGCCTTGACTTCTTTTGCGGCCTCGATGAGGAGGAACTCACCGTCACTATCGCTGACGCGGACCCAGAGGTTGCGGAAGGTTTTGGTGAGCTCTCGCAGGAGGTAGACGATCAGCCATTCGTCTTCGACATTCTCGCCGTAGTGCGTGACACCGTAGAGGTAGGGTGTTCCAAGGCCTGAGTGTGGATTAGCTTGAACGCACATGTCACTTAGATCTCATTCTAATGGTGACGTACCTTTTTGGACCCTCGTTTCTAACTTAAACGGGTCCCGCTGCCAGATGTAGTCCTTGGCGATCTTATCCAGCTTCTGGTAGGCCGCCCGCCGGACCTGTTCCAGACTCGGTAGGCTGCTGTTGGTTTTGTCGCCGATGATGAAGAGCATGTACTCAACGCAGTCCTCGGGGAGGGTCATGCGAAAGCCCTCAAAGTTGTCGTCCCCAGGCCGCGGTTCAGACGCCACGTCCAGCTCGCGGGACTGGACTTTGTCCAGGGTGCCGTTTGGGATCCTTTTTGATTTTTTGTCCATTGTAAAATACGTTATAAAGTTGTTCGAGTCTGATCAAACCTTGAAGGGGTGTGTTTGACTCTTGAGCCCTTCACTGTTCGTTGGTCTAGCATAAACGTTGAGGAAGTTTGGAGGGAATGGATTCGGTCGGGTTCACTTCGACCGAAACCCAGGCATATTTTGGATAACTGTGTGGTTTTAGACAAAAGTTGAGTCACTTCAGCACTGATCATTTCATCATTTCCGAAGCCGGTCTCATATTATTCATCCAGCCTTGACTTCAGCGTTCATCTGCACCTTCATCAGCGATGATTTCATGCCAAGAAGATGCCAAGAACTGCGGTCCTCTTCTGGCTTGAATTACATAAGCAGATATCCTTGGTCCCGTGACGGCGTAGATGACTGCACCAGGCCGCAGTGGGTCTGGTGCAACGGTGGGGGTGGGTCGCCCCCGTCGTGTTTTTTTTCCTGCAAAAGAGTGGGGAATTTTGGTACTGGACGCGCTTTGGTCCCAATCGTGTCCATTACGCGTCCAAGACCCAAACCCCTCTTCTCTCGCTGTTTATCCCCGTCACTGTTTGTGTGCGACTTGTGAGACCCCGGATTTGAGATATAGGCTGTTTTTTCTTTTTTATTTTATCCTCTAACCACGCCCACTGCGAGCCGCAAGCCCTGGGAAGCGGCAGACAACGCTCAACTATTCTCTTGTTGGAAGTTTGAGCCGTTGTTTGTTTCCAGATTGCCAACATGCCGGGGGTTGTCGATTCGCCCGAGGCGGAGTCCTCGAGGAAGCGCGCCAGGCGCGCCGCCGGTCACGATGGTGACGATAACGGTTATGTCGTTGAGGTTAGGAACACTTACGGGAACCAGAGACCGGCTTTGGTAGGTCGATCTACTCGCGACAGAAGAGTCGCATTGCACCGTTCCGTCTGTAATGGATAATAGAAATGAATGCTTACGCTTTACCAGAGGAAGCGCATGCGCCTGTCTGAGGAAGGGCCGAGCAGAAGTGGTTTCACTCACCAGCCCAGCGAGGATAGCAGCGGAGACTCTGTGAACGCGCGGGATGCCGTTGAACCCCCATCTTCTCCCCCGCGGACCCAATACGACTTGATGCGCGACGGCCACTTCGAGCACCTTCAATATGAAGCCCAGGACGACCAGCGTGCCACCCAACGGCTGCGCTCCCGCACCAACGTCCTTAGCCACAACACGGTCGCCGAGAACGGTATCCTTGAGAGCGTCACATGCGTCAACTTTATGTGTCACGAACGCCTGCACTGCGAGCTCGGCCCTCTTCTCAACTTTATCGTCGGTGAGAACGGTAGTGGGAAAAGCGCTATCTTGACCGCAATTACTCTTTGCCTCGGAGGCAAGGCAAGCTCAACCAACCGCGGCGGTAGTCTTAAGGCTTTTGTCAAAGAAGGCCAGGAGCGCGCCATGCTGGCGGTTAAGATCAAGAACCGCGGCCATGATGCTTTCAAGCCCGAGCTATACGGCGACTCTGTCATCGTCGAGCGTCACTTCTCCAAGTCCGGAGCCAGTGGATTCAAGGTGAAGAGCGCCACCGGCGTCACCATTTCGACTAAGAAGCAGGAGGTCGAGGAGCTGGTTGAATACTATGCTCTACAAGTCGACAATCCTCTCAACATCCTTTCACAGGATAATGCACGTTCGTTCCTCAATTCTGCCAACAAGTATCAGAAGTATAAGTTCTTCATCGAGGGCGTTCAGCTTCAGCAACTGGATAACGATTACCGCCTGATTGCGGAAAACCTCGATATGATGGTTTCCAAGATTCCTGACCAGGAAGAAATGGTTAACCGTGCTCGTGAAGATTTCGAAAAGGCCAAACGCCTGCGAGAGTCGCTCGAAGGCGCTCGCCGGATCCGAGCGAAAGCGAAGGTCGTGCGTGCCCAGTTGGCGTGGATTCAGGTGGAGAACGAAGAACGCGAGCTCCAGAAGCAGGAGGAGAAACTAAATCGTCTTAACGAGCATATCGCGCAAACAGACCGCGAGATTGAGGAGCAGGCTGAGGCCCTCGCCCGGGCGGACCAGCAGATCGCGCAAGCGGAGGAGCTCGTCAGCGAGGTCAAGCAAGAACAGGACGATGTCAAACGCCGGTCAGAGCAGGCACGTGACGAGCTCAATAGGTTAAGAGGAGAGCTGGAGAAGCTTCATAGTGACGAGCGAGACGCCAACGAGAACTTGAAGCGGATCGAAGAGGACATTCAGAAGAAAGAGGAAGAAATTGGTCGGGAACGAAAACGTCTAGAAAGCAAGAACAATGGGCAGCACGCTGCTAAGCTCAAAGAGCTAGAAGAGGCAAAAGTCGAGGTAGCCAACCTTGGGCAGAAGCTCAAGGAAGTCAATGAGCGGAGGCCCGAACTTATCAAAGCCATCGACGAGACAAACAAGAAACTTGAGCAGATTGATAAAGATGTCACATCAAAGAGGGTGCAGATAGACAAGGTCGAAAACAGTATCAGGAATCTTGAGACCTCCCGCGGTTCCCCTTACGACGCTTACGAGCGTGGTGTCGCAGCTTTGGTTAAGCGGATCGATCAGGACAATGGCTTCAGGGACAAGCCGATTGGGCCTCTTGGTGCTTACCTTCGTCTTACCGAGCCACGGTGGTCATATATCCTTGAAGCGACCCTCGGGGGCAGTCTAAATGCCTTCTTAGTGACAAACAACCAAGATCAAAAAAGGCTCAGTGCAATGATGAATGAACTGAATGTCCGGCATTGCCCTATTCTCATTTGCAATCCGCGTCCTCTCGATCTGACCGGGAAAGAGCCCGATCCAGAGTATAACACGATCTTGCGCGTGCTTCGGATCGACAACATCATGGTTCGTGACCAGCTGATCATCAATCATGCCATTGAACAGATTCTTCTGGTGCCAGAGCGCGTTCGCGCCGAACAAATAATGTTCGATGGCGCCCGGCCGCGGAACGTGAGAGCTTGTCTAGCGTTGCACGATACGAGGCCTAACGAAGGCATCAGGTTGACGGTCAACACCGGAGGGCCTTCGACCTCTCCCGTCCAGCCTGACATGCGGCAGAAGCCGAGAATCCAAACGGACTCTGACGCTCAGCTGAACCTACAGAGAGAGGCGCTCCAGCGGCTCCGGGCCGAGCTTAATGCCCTCGAAAGCGAGCAACGGCGTCTCCGACAGGCATCTCAACATGCCACAGCTTCCCTACACCAGTTCGAGAGGGAGCGGCTTGACCTAGAGAGGAAGATTCGTAATGCCAAAGCTCTAGTCGAGACCTTGACCGCAGAGCTGGAAGATTTGACGAGCGGCGACACGGGACACCTAAACGGGCTCGAGCAGGTTCTGAAGGACCTCGAAAAGCAACGGGAGCTTGTCGGCATGCAGTTCGGCACGCTGGCTTTGCAAAAGCAAGAGAAGAACCGCGAAGTCGAAGATGCCAGGAAGAAGCGTGCAGCCTGTCGCAAAGAAGAGGAAGAAGTGGAGTCAAAGCTTAAGAAGGCCGAAACGAAATTGCAAAAGAGGCGGGACATCCGGCAGGTCGTGCTGATTGAAAAGAACAATCTCCACGAGCGGCTGGACAAGCTCAACAGGGACAAGGCCGAACTGGAGGATGTCATCCAAGAGACGACACGCAAACTCGAGGCTATGAGCGCAGAGGCCCGGACGGTCGCAGCTGAGCGCCCTGCCATTCCCCCGGGGGAGACACACAGCAGCCTTGAACAGAAGTATGCCTCTCTCGATCGACACCTCCGCAAGCTTGAAAAAGACCGTGGTAAACCGGAAGAGGAAATCCATGCAGAATACGCCAAAGCAACAGAGGCGTACGAGAAGGCTGTGCAGAGCCTTGAGTCCACCAAGCTCATCAACCAGCGCCTGCAGCAGTCCCTTACTCAGCGCCTTGCCAAGTGGCGCAAGTTTCAGCGCTACATCTCTTCTCAGTCCCGTGCCAACTTCATTTACCTGCTCAGCGAACGCGGGTTCCGTGGCAAGCTGCTTCTTGACCACAAACGGAAGGCCCTTGACCTGGTTGTTGAGCCCGACCAGACGCAGAAGCAGGCTGCTGCGCGGAGTACCAAGACCCTTTCGGGTGGTGAAAAGAGTTTCTCGTCGATCTGTCTGCTCTTGGCCATATGGGAAGCCATGGGCTCGCCGCTCAGGTGTCTGGATGAGTTTGACGTGTTCATGGATAATGTGAACAGGGCCATCAGTACCAACATGCTGGTGAGGACTCCTCCTAACGAAAGTGATAAAAGGTTTGAAACTGACTTATGTCTATACAGATTACGGCGGCCCGTCGCTCGGTCAATCGTCAATACATCTTCATCACGCCGAATGCCATTGAGGGGAGGAATACGCTCGATAAGGATGTCAAGATTATTCGGTAAGTTGCCCACATGAATCCTGATAGTAATAGTTTCCTTTGAACACAGTGCTAATTGACCGTGCAGTCTGACCGATCCACGCCAGCGCACTCTTATTAATCACCGCTGAACGTTGTCGTGTGGTTGAGTTGCTCTCTTGGCTTCTGCGGCTCTACTTTGTTCGTCTTACTCCGCTCGCGCTCTTGATGCCGAGCAATCAAATTGCTCTACCGTCTGTGGCTTGTGTCCAACGGCATGTTCGCCTTACCTGTTGATCCTTGTCGGAGTATCTTTTTTTATTGCTGTCCGCTTCACGTATCTTTTAGATGTACAGAGTTTATAGTTTTAGTTATAGAAGGGTCGGTGTGGGTGCGGCTCGGTATTCTTCCTATCTGGACTGGATTGGGCACTTGGGAACCGGGGGGACAATAGGATGGCTGGCGTCATAACGGTGTCGGATTATTTGTTCTACTCTGAATTGGATCTATCGCTCTTCAAACGGGGTTTTCATGGCTGGGATGGTTGCCTCTATTCCTCTAATGATAATACGGACTAATTCCTATGAAAAAAAGCTCATGATAGGAGTTGCGGAACGAAAAGGTATGTCAAGGTTATGTAATGTATAGGGTATGTATATATGACATAGCCGCAACGTATCAACTTAAATGCTAAAAGCATGTACCTGTAAATGAAGAGTGGTATTTACATTTTCTACAAATATTGTACACCGTCTCCAATGGTCTAAGTTATACCATCGTCAACCCCTCCCCTCTTAGATCCCCAACGGTAATCAACAACCCCCTTAAACTTATATCCTTACCCCCTTACTCCTCAAAATATTCACCACTGCAGCCCCAGTGAACCCAACCCATTCTGTCACGTTCCTCACCGCACCGCCGACCTGGCGCGCCTCGTCCAGTCTCCTGCGCAGGAAAGCCCGGGTCTCGCGCTGGTCGAGAGAAGTATCTGTCGTCTGGAAGAGCTCGGTCCCAGCGTAGATGGCTGAGAGAGAGGCGCGCTTGGTGTACCAGGAGGGATCGACCGACTTGTCGCCGGCGAGGTAGATGATTTCGTCGGCTAGGAGGGCGAGTTCCTTGAGGGAATGAGGCAGGTAGGAGGGGAGGGCCATTAGAGCTAGGGCCTGGGGCTGTTAGCATTGTCTTTTCTGCGCAAGTAGGGAGATTGATGTCCCGAGACTTGATCTAGCAAGACAATAATAGCAGGTCATATATATAGATATATATATGAAAAAAAAAAAAACATACCTCCTGCCACCTCCCCACGATACCCCCCTCCACGTTCCCCTTCAACCTCTCCCACGTAATAACCTCCACCCGCTCCTCAACCCCCAGCCTCTCCAACTCCTTCTCCAGCGCCTTAACCCTCTCCTTCAGTCCCTCTCTTTGGCTCCAAAGCCACCACCGTACCAGCCCGAACTCCCCGTCGGCCAGCACCGCGGGGGAGATATCCAGGTGCCCTGTGTCGCGCGCGCCTAGGGCGAGTGATTCAGCAGTCCAGCCGTGCGTAGGCACGTGTTTGAGGGCGGCGGAGAGAAGGAGTTGTTCCGTGGGTGTGAAGGGAGGTGGGGGAGGGGGGTGGGTGGTTGAGTGGTAGGAGCGGATGGTGGTTGACTTTGGTGCAGCTGTAGAGGGCGTTTGGATGAGGGTCTTGTCGGATTTCAAGGGGGAGCGTGGGGAGGGAGTCGCTGGGACGAGGGAGCGTGTTGTTGAGAGGAGAGCCGCTTGAGTTGTTGTAGGCGAGCACATCGCCAGGCTGCGGAGGAGATGGCGGCTGGCCATGGTGGTAGAGGGGAGAGGGGCCGGCGGCATGGTTTTGATGGCTCTGCTACTCTAAAACCTCGGGTAAAAACGAATTGAACGGGTTTCGGCACAGCTGGGAGGAGCTGGGCAGGTCAATTGGCGTGTTCTGGCGCTCGCACCGTCGACGATGACGATTTCGATAATGCAAGTCGAACTCGGCACGTGTTTTTGGAGTCAGGCCAGGCGTTCGGTGTTTGGCGCGGGATGCGGTGGCTCGCTGGGGTTCTCGCCCGCCCTCGCTAGGACAGAATTGGGCTAGGTCAGTGGGGTGCCCCATATGATGGATCTTCTCAGGTTCTTGGCAAGACGTGGAAAGTTTCATGGCTTTTGGTGTCCGAGCTGAAACGATCTCATCACTACGGATTATTACATCGGGCTGGATAATTTGATGATCTATATGGGCTGAACTGAGGGTAGATGCTCTCCCTCAAGATGCCAGCCCACGACATCCGCACGCCAGAAGCACGCAGCTGCGTTGAAGTAACGCCATGATGGCAGGGAGGGGCGCCATCGGGCACAGTAGCAGCTCCCACGCATCCTTCTGCTGCAGCAAAAGGGCGCCACTCAGAACGGCATCATTGGGCTGGGAATGGATCCATACAGCTGCTCGGAGGATTATCAGATCCGAGAGATCGCTGAGGTGTTCCTCGTCTGGAATGCTGGTGACGGGGACTTCCAAGTATGGTGACTTTGGGTTTTTCTGTAAGTGCCGTTGGTTAGTTAGAATACCTTACCTTGGACAGGCCATCTGTGTGCGTGCACATCAGATATCGAGGCACCTGTCTTTAAGCCCTAAATCTGTCATCGACATCGTCTGAAACGTCAACTCTAGTCGCTCAGCACAAGAGTGACGAAATTTTGCGCCGCACATGGACTTGTCCGTCCTCAGATGAGGGGTTTAGCCTGTGGCTTGCCCCGCCCAAGCCACCAACGACCTCTCTTGCTCCCACGGGCTGGCTGGCGATTTCCTCGAAGAATCAGAGCATCTCGGCGCGATCAGAAAGTTGGGCATCAGTAAGGACAAAGGAGAGACCTCGACCTTTTGATCTCATCCGTCCAGCATCCAGACACTGGATTCCCCATCCACCTCGGCTCCGCACGGAATCAGTCCCCGGGCCGCCCGTAGCGTGTCCCCGCCAGTGGTTCTGCCGAGAAATAAGCGCAGCAGCAGCGTGTCATCCAGCATCGCGCTGTAGTTGATCAACGTTATCCAGCGACCCAGTCCATAGCACAGAATCCAGACGCTCAGGCTCTCCCGCAGCACAAGCGCAAGACCCATTCGGCTTCATAGCCCGTCTGGTTTGCGTGCATGCCGCGCTTATTAGCCAATTCCACCCTGCATTCACCGGTCTGGGTCTGTGGAGGACGAGCCGGCTTGTGGTTGGCTCCCTTGCCTGCCTTCCCGATCGGTTGAGCGCGGCGCGGAGGTTGATGAAGGGACGGCATGGTTGGGTTGGGTTTCCGGGGCCAGGAATGCGGGTGGGTATGGTATGCAGCAGCAGCAGCTGCTGCTGCTTCAAAGCCTGTACGGAGAAGCGCTTCTTTTTTCAACCGCTCTGCAGCACGACTGGCCGTGGGGCCGAGGCATCCGTAACGGCTCTGGGATGTTTTTGACTGGCCAACTAACGAGGGCTAGCTACTGTGCTGCTGGGGGATGAGAATTTTGTGTTCTTTTGTGCCTCTCGATCCTACTGCTCGATGCCCCGCTGAAAAATTTCTTCGAGGCTGCCAGCGGGATGTTCGAGTCACCGGAACACAAGACTGGCAGTCTTTCGCTCCGGATGTGATTCCCCTTATGCGGTGTCACCCTTGCGCAGATTGCGGGATCTTCGCTGACACACCATGAGGGTTCAGTTGTTGAAAAGGTTGGGGAGCCAATATCGAATATATTGGGCCGTCCCCAAAGGCACCGGGACATCATCAGAGCCTTGTCTAGTCATAGTTTCGAGTCCCCGCCATCACTCTGCAAGATGACCAAAAGTGATGGCGCTTTTCTTGAATTGGAAGTATCCAGAACGCATGCAAACGGCTGCCACGAGGATTTTGTGTACCTGAATGCAACTTTCCGTGAAGATGCCTGCTTGTAGAAAGAGGTGATTCTTAGATTGGTGGTTGTGAAGACAATGTTCTTTTCCACCTGCAGCGATCTGCGTAAGTACAAGGCATTGGTGTTACGTTGTCTGCGTGGCACACTGTGGTGCGCAGAGTCTTTGAGCGCGTACACATATGATATTCCAGAGATTTATTTGGAGCATGTTGTCCTCAGCATCAGAGCAATCAAAAATTTAACACCAACTTCTTATCCAAGTGAAGCTCATGGTGTTGATCTTGAGGTAGGCGCTCAAAAATTGGCGGGGTTGTGGGGCAGATAAGGCTGGGTATCAATGTTTTTTATTGGCTACATTGCCCATGTGGGTCTAATCAGAATGCTTCGCCATGATGTTGTCATGCCGTTGTAAGAGAGCTGTCAGCGTCCTCAGCAAAGGCTGCCGACATACGACTACAAAAAACACCGTTGTGTAGATCACTAGCTCGCTTTACACAACAGATCTTTGTCCGCAGTACAGATACCGTCTTGGCCTTTTTCTTTGAACTTTATAGGTAGTGTTGACTGACATACCATCTGAAGCGCAATCTCAAATCTCAAGAAAGGGCTTGAAACTTTCACTGGCGATGCAACATTTGATAGAAATCTGAGGAGCGGTTGATGTTGGACTCTGATGTTGGCGAATCCGCTCAAGAGCGACATAGATGCGCCGTGGGGGAAAGTCAGGATACCAAAATGGGCGCTTCAGCTCTCTAGGGCTCAGGGTCAACAGAGAGACTTGGCTCAACTGGGTGGCGTGCATTAAAGTGGGTGCATAACGGAGCCAATCTTATGCTGGAAAGGTCTGTTAAGGCCTGTATGTAATTACATGAAACATACGGCTCCGTACGGATTACGCTGCTTCGTGGTTAAATTGCCGTTTCTGTGAGGGTTCCTTTCCGTTAGCGACCCGGCGTCAGCCTGCATTGCCACCGGCTCCGTTTAGAGCTGGGCAAGCCCCGGCGCTTCTGTGGGCTAGGCCCTTTCAAGCGGCCAATGGGCCCCACCCTTGCCAGCTGCCCGTCCTCGCATTCAGGTGCGCGAGAAAAGACCAACGCCAACACCGTGAGACTGTGACTGCGTCGAACGTGCCTGCACCTCACTGCTCATACTGCCTACTTGCGGAGACCAACCAATTGAGTCGACAGCACCAGGACACGACGCGCATCTCGATCGTCATTGTCACTCCGTCTGCCGGCAGTGTGCTTTGCCGACTGTCACCTTGACATCTGGAAACTCACACGCACCTACTGGTTTGTCATCTCGTCCATCGCGGACGCCATCAACCCTTGCTCAATCGTGAGTTATCTGGCGGGAACGCGTACTCGTGTACTTTTTGTACTGTACAGGTACGATTGACGCCCCTCCTTTGGCCCCTTTCTCGGCGGTCAGACGCTGGCTCCCGGGACCCGTGACAATCGAAACGTTTTTTGTGCTGACTCTTGTTCCCCCCTTCACAGTCTCAGCAGTCCCAACAGTCCCGGCCAGCAGCACAGCTCGGCAACCCCAGGTTGCACAGAGTTTGAGCGAACCACTCAGAGTCTTCAGACCTGCTCTCGTCCTCTCTTCCGCCCGCTCTTGGCCGCGTCGCCTTGCGTTTGCTGCTCGCTGTTCGCCGCTCGCTCGCTGCGCCCAGCGTTCCCAGGTCCCACTGTTTCACTGTCTCGGTCGGTCAAGCTGTGCAGCAGCAAGCACCAAGCAGCAAGTGGAAGCAGCGCGCCCATCAAGCTTTCTCGTTGCTCGACTCGGACAGACGCACGCCTGCCCAACTCGGTTCAGGGAAGCTCATCCATTCGCCGTTTGCCACTCGGCGCCAGCAGTCACCTCCTGTCAGCAGCAGTCTCAGCTGGAGCCCCCAGTGTGCCGTCACCGGATCTCACATCCAAAGACAAGGTCCTGACTGCCGACAAGATCGCTGTTGATCCGTTAGCCAGAGGGAGTGTTTCGTTTCGCGTGCCTTGCGGCGCCTCCCCCCCACTTAGCACTCAGCAGCAACACTACTCGGTCAACCTGAGAAAGCTCAGGTTAAGCTCGGGCTCAAGGTCCAGGTCCTAGTTCGCAACTCGCCAAGGCGTCCGCAACAAGCAGAACTCCTCTCATCTCAGCACGCATCCAATTGTCGCACCGCCAAAATTTTTTCCCTGCCCTGCCTCTTCTCTAAAGAGCAGCTAAGCCGTTGGAATTGAAATTTTTTTTTTCATTTCCCTACGACAGCCATGGGTAAGTTTTCGATTTGTTCGAACTGCTTTGCATCCATCCACAACCACATCCAATTCGCGGCCTGCCGTCATAGCTATTCCATAGCCCTGATATCTGCCCTATTCTCTTTTCTGTTCCCATGCCTCAGTCCATACTTTGACCCCAGATCCAGTCCTGCTGCTGCTGCGCTGCGTCGCCTTTGTTGGTTGGTGCCCGTCGCGTGTGAGCCGTGCCTCTGAGCCTCCGAGCACATCACGGACACCCGACGCCAGCCTCCTCCACGCCTGCACCAGGAACGCTGGGCACTCGTTATCGTGAGCATTCTCCAAGATGTCTCGATGACGTGTTATTGCTGCTTGTAATCCCAGGCCTGTCCAGTCGGCAGCTTGGTTGAGCTCGCAGCACACACGCATCACATACTTACACATCTCCTCATTGTCTTCTTATATATATATGCCTTTGATTTGATATCTTTTATTCCTACTGCACTACACACGCCTACCATACACTCGCACACGCTCGCACATACCACCTACTGCTGCCGGTCACCCATACACACTTACACACATACACACATCTCTTCCCTTCCCCGCTGTGTGGCAGTCGGCTCTGGCTTGGGCGAGATTCCTGGCTCTTCCTCTGGCCAACCAAGGTTCTCCTCGCCATCGTTCGACTCACAGCTCACGGCTCGGCGCCGTGCTGTGCTGAAGTACCTGCCCTGGCCGTCGTGCCCGACCTGCCTGGTCTGCTCGGCGACATGCCCATGCCCTATATACCACATACATGTATTGTACAGTACATTCGCACCGCGAGATACCCCCCTCCCCTCCCTCCCTTCGCCCTGCTGCATGTCTTTCCCTTCTGATCCACCCTCGTACTCATTCGAGATCACCCCCGCCGCGGGTCCCCCCAAGTCCTACCCTCCCTCAAAAATTGCCACTTCCGCAACCGCCTTGCTTCCTTTCCCCATTCCTCCTACACCTCACTCTTACCCCTAGACCCTCTCTTGGACCGACGCTTTCCATAGCCAGTCCGCAAATATCTCTAACCTCGTTTTCCTCCCACAGCTGATTCAGACACGTATCGTCCTCAGGTAAGTTGCTCCCGCCTGCGGCGTGCTTTTTGGTTTTCTCTGGCATCTGTTTTTTTTTCTTGCTTTTGTCCGGCCGGGCTCCAGAAACCCTGGGCCTCTCGGGAACCCCAGCGCCCCGCGGTTTTCATTTTGCGACTTGCGGCCTTCTCGCTTTTCCTCTCTCTTGTTAAGCTGACTCCCATCCTGTCCGATGTGGGCCGTGCTCGATGGTCCAGCGCGGGCGTCCGACTCAATCGTGCGTTCGCTCGCTCGTTCGCTGGCGCTGCCGGCCGGTCTCCACAATTTGCACTCCAGATTGGGAGGGTCCTAGGTCCTTACCTAGCCGCCACCGCGGGCGCGCGGGGCCCCTTCCCTGATCACTATGGAGCCTGGAGCCTTGCGTTGGCGCAGCCTCGTCGCTTGAAACGGTCGCTGGCCCAGCCGCATCCAGTGGCACTGCATCCGCATCGCCTGGTCTGGAGAGGTTGTCAGCCCGCGAGCCTGAAAGCCTACTCGAGCACCTCGAGCACCACCCCGCCCCCTCACTTGCCGGCTTGTGCAACCCCAATCCCCCCCGAATCTGCAACCACCACTGCTGATAACGTGGATCAGCCTTCCACTGACATGTCGCAGCGCGAGAGGTCTCGTTCTCCCCGTAGGGGTCGCTCCAGGAGCCCGAACGGTCGCCGCTCATACTCGCCGCGTGACGAGTCGAGGAATAACAACCACCAGAAGAGGAGAAGCCGTTCTCCCATGACGGGCCAACCCCAGCAGACTGGACAGTCTTCCAACACTGGCTACAACGCTCCTCCCCCTCACCACGGGTCGTACGAAGATCGTGCGGCTCGCCGCGAACAGGTCATGAACAACATCCGCGAGACGTCCCAGCAGGACCGCCGCGTCTACGTCGGCAACCTGTCTTACGACGTGAAGTGGCATCACCTGAAGGACTTTATGAGACAGGGTGCGTTATGGGAACAGCAATGGGGGAGCGCGGTTTGCTGCGCGCGATGGTGGATTTTTTTTTGGCTTGTGATGCTAACATGACTTGTGCCTTCAGCTGGAGAGGTTCTCTACGCCGATGTCTTGCTTCTTCCTAATGGAATGTCGAAGGTGGGCGCCTACAAGTGACTTTGGCACATGGTTCTTTTGTGGTTTCTCCTCTCCGGTTTGATGGATTGTTGGGTTGACGGGTTTGGGACAATGTCCGGCGGAAATTTAGGGATGCGGGTAAGTTTGGCGGCCGTCGTTTTTTTTTTTTTTTTCCGTTGTCCTAATTTTGGGCGCATGCTAACGTCCGGTAGTATTGTGGAATATGCCACTAGGGAACAGGCTCAACACGCCATTGCGACTCTCAGCAACCAGAATCTTATGGGCCGCTTGATCTACGTCCGCGAGGTAAGGTCGTCAACGACGACTGGCAGTCGTTTCAGCCGGCTGACGTCTACGCAGGACCGCGAGAGTGAGCCTCGTTTCGGCCCTCCGGGCGGCATTCCCCGCGGTGGTTACTCTGGCGGCATGGGCGGCGGTGCCTACGGCGGCTTCAACCCTATGGGCACTGCTGGCCGCCAGCTCTACGTCTCTAACGTGCGTATCGTTCACCTACTATTGGTCTGCTATCCACGCTCGCCTTCGTACTGACCCTCGCAGCTGCCCTTCAACATTGGCTGGCAGGATCTGAAGGATCTCTTCCGCCAGGCTGGTAAGTGTCCCCGGTCGTTTACCGAGGAATTTGTGCATTGACTTCGTCCAGCTCGTCAGGGCGCCATCATTCGTGCCGATGTCCACATGGGCCCCGATGGCAGGCCCAAGGGTTCTGGTATCGTCGTGTTCGAGTCCCCCGATGATGCTCGCAACGCCATCCAGCAGTTCAACGGCTACGAGTGGAACGGTCGCATCATCGAGGTGCGTGAGGATCGCTTCGCCAACCCCGGCATGGGCGGCCCTGGCTTTGGTCGTGGCGGCTACGGTGCTCCCCGTGGTGGCTTTGGTTATGGCGGCCGTGGCGGCTTCGCAGGCCGTGGCGGTTATGGTTACGGTGGTCGCGGTGGGTTCGGCGGTCATGGCGGCTATGACAACAACGTCTCGATGCCTCCTAACCCCTTCACCGACAACGTTGTTCCGGGCACGGAGAAGTGTGACACTATCTTTGTCCGCAATGTAAGTGACTTCCATCTGCGATCAACGCAGGCGGCAGCTAACCTGTCCAGCTTCCTTGGTCAACGAGCAACGAGGACCTCGTTGAGCTGTTCCAGACTATCGGCAAGGTTGAGCAGGCCGAGATCCAGTATGAGCCGAGCGGCCGCTCCCGCGGTACCGGTGTCGTCCGCTTCGACAACGCCGACACAGCCGAAACTGCTATCGCCAAGTTCCAGGGTTACCAGTACGGCGGTCGTCCGCTCAATATCGCCTATGCCAAGTACCTCAACCCGCAGCAGAACGACAACGCCATGGACACCGATCCGCATGCTGGGCTTACTCAGGACCAGATTATGTAAAGGAGCGATACGATCTGGACGGCCTCTCGCTTTGCATGAGAGGAGTTCTATCGAGTCGGTGGCAGCCGTTTGGAAGGGGTTGGGATTCGGATTTGCGTTAGGTGTAACTCCAAACTGGGCCGCTCATCGACTTTCATCGTCCCTCTAGTTTCGGTTATGCGCGTTAGGTTCTTGGCTGAGAGTCCACGTTTCTGCCATTATTTCCGGCGTATCTTGAAGGCGATGCGAGGCTTGAAGGGAACATTGACTAAGTACAAGTCCTGTCGTCGATGGCAGGCTGCGTTTTCGTGAAGGAGAGATGGGATTGGGATGGTTATGGAAATGTTGATAAGGGGTGGAGGAGTATGGGTTCATCGTCCCCCATTTAGCTCGGGAACATCTTCAGCATTAACAATCAGTTCCGCGCTCCGACATCTTCGACATCGACGACGTCCTTTTCCGTCCTGTAATCGTCTCGTGAACGTCGCGAAATCGGAAAGGTTTCTTTATGGTCATCTAGTTCCGCCTTTCTTTTGTCTCCTTATTCGATTCAGAAATTTGGGTGCAATGTCATACTCGTCTTTTATTTTTTTTCCCGTTGCTCTATTCTGAATTTTACAGTCCTATCGAGGAGGCAACATTAACAACAAAACATCAACTTACCGTCGGGGTTGTTGTGGTTCGTGGGTTCTTATTTTTTTTCTTTTCGTCATTCTCGACAAGGGTGGATAAGAAATAAGAGAGAAAATGGGAAAAGAGGGGGATCATTGCCTCATTAGTGAGGCTTACTTCTCTCCGTAGAGAGAGAAGAGGATGTCGGTCGGTTGGGAGGGCAGTTCTTTATGGGATTGTCATCGACACTACTTCATCACGACAGCAAACATCCTCATCATCTTTCCTTTTTTTTCTTCTCCTTTTTTCTTTCTCTTCCTTCTGCGGAGAAGGGTTACCTACCAAGAAAGATCCCATTACTTGGGGTCGGTTTGATTTCGGGGATCCAACTGGTATTCGCAGGGGAAGGGGGCCAAAGGATGGAACTGTCTAGAATGTGTACACTCGAATAGGGAGACAGTGATTTGCTTTTTTATGAGACTGGCGGTGATGGTTTGGTTTGCAAACGGTAACGGTTTGCGGTAGTGGTTTGGTGATGGCGGGATATTCTCCGGATCCGGATCTGGTCGACGGTCACGATGGGATGGTTCTTCCGGGGGACTACGCTCTGACGGCGTCACGTCGTGGTCGTCGACGGTTGATTGACCTTGGTATTTAAAACTGGCTGCGGTGCTGGTTGATGGTTGGCTGGCTGAGACGCCCAGCCGCGATATCGGCATCGGCTTTGACATGGTAGAGTGAGTGAGTAGGTGGACGGTAGGCTTCAGTGCCAGGCCCGGATTATTTTCCTCAGGTTTTATTACTACCATGGGTTATCGCTGGACCCGGTATGATTATGATCTCTGGTACGGTATGGTAGGGTTTGGTAGGATATCGCAGGACGTGTCATCAGTATCTGGCACTCCTGTCGACCGGGCCGAGGTCCAGGTCGAGGTCCGGTCCTCTTCCCATAGCTTTTGTCTATGTCCAGGTATTTGTTGGGGATGGGGTTAGGAAAGGAAGATTAGGTGAACGGCCGCCATCCGGTGCTGCTTTACCTACCTTCATAACGTCATCATATTGGCTACGCCACATCATACCACACAAGGGGCATGGCATTGCTCTTTGCTCTGTCCATGGATCAAATGGATACGTACTTGGGTATGACGGGCCAGGTTTTCTCCCGTCTTTAGGTAACTTTTGTCATTTTTTGACCCGATGTCAACATTCATCATCGGCGAACTCCTGCTGGCTTGGCTGGCTCTCTAGATCAATCCCTTTCCCTCCCCCCCCCCTCCCCTTCCCCCCCCTCTTCCCCCCCCCCCCCGCCTTTTCCTCTGAAACAGCTGACTGAATAGACTCGGTCAAGTGACCAATATCTCTATAATGCTGGTCGGCTGTTTATCGTTTATCTCGATAGCATCGTGAAATTACATGTTTTGGACATGCCCAATGTTGATGCCTCTCTATCTATGATAAAGGGAATATAGGTACGTATCTTGTTGCTTCTAGTTAGTTAAACTTGATCTTTTGCCAGGAACTCGGAGTTACGTTGATGCCATGTGATGTGATGACTTTCACTAGATGATAACCCCAATCTGGTGCTGAGTCCTACCTCCCTCCCTCCCTCCCTTTCTCCCTCCATTATCCATTCATCCATTCCCCTCCCCTTCCCCCGCCCATCCTCTAGAGATCTCCATCCATCCCTTCCATCAGCATGGCAACCAAACCCATAAGACGCTCAAAACCTCAACCGACTCCCCCTCCTTCCCTCCTCCTTCTTCGCATCTCCCCTTCCCCTTCCCCTTCCCCTCCCCCTCCCCCTCCTAATGCCCCTCCCCCTCGTGGTAGAAATCATTACCTCCGCCCGCTCCGTCTCACTCCCCTCTGCTGATGAGGCAGATGCAGAGGGCGTGCTACTGCCCTCGAGCTCGTCGACGCTAAGGCAGTAGGCGATGCGTCTGTGTCGGAGGGGGGAGGAACTGGGAGGCGGGTGAAAGGGGGATTTTGGCTCTGTTGGAGGATTCTGTTGTTGTTGTTGTTGTTGTTGTTGTTGTTGTTGTGAAGAGGGTGTGTAGTGGGGGCGGGCAGGATTAGGAGCAGGGGCGGGGCCGAGGTAAGGTTCGCTGATGATTGTGCCGGCGCTTGAGGGGGCGAGGAAGAAGTAATCTTGCTGGGTGTGGTGGTCATCATCATCATCATCGTCGTCGTCGTCGTTGTCGTGAGAGTGATTGGTACCGTGAGGGTCGGGTCCTAGATCAGAAGTGAGGACTAAAGGTTGTCAGAGTCTGAATTCGTCAAGATTGGATAGAGACTGACTGGGAGCAAAGGAGTATCGCGTGGATCAATCAACAAGAGGGGATGATGGGTCATTATCATCAATGAATGACGCTGAACGCTTGTATCAAACTCAACTCGACTCAACTATGCAAAATTACCATCCGTCCACCACGCCAACCCATCAACTAAATATCAAATGCAATGAATGCGATGCAAACAATGCAATGCAATGCAATGCAAAACCTGACCGTCTCTCTTTCTCCCTCTCTCTCTCTTTTTCTCTCTCCCTTGACTTCCCCCCCCCCCCCTTTCTTCATCTCAAAGTAACTTGAAAATAATCAATGAATGGGGTATTAAACGTATAACTTTAGCAAAAAAAAAAAAAAAACCAATCAGACACGAAAAAGAAAAATGAAAGAAAAAAAAGGAATCAGGACCGCTTGCCTCTCCCCGCCACGCCCCCAAATCGCGAAAACTGCCTCCCCACAATCCCCGTCCTCGCCTTCGCCGTATTCTCCTTATCTTTCCCTGGCGTACTACCATCTTTAGCCGGAATGGGCGGCCCACGAAGACTAAGTGACGTTCTCCCGCTCGGTCCTCCCCCTCCAGCTCCTCCGGTCCCTCCTGCACCTCCTCCCCCAGACCCGCTGGGCCCATCATGCCCATGCTTACCGCCGCCAGTGCCGTCCTCGACGCGATGGTGGCCTGCTTGTCCCGAACCATGCGGCTGCCAGTCATCAAAGTCGTTGGAGATGCTGCCCCGCTGGAGCCGGCGGGCGCGTTCCTGGACGGAGCGGAACTTCTCGAGGAGCTCGTTCCAGCGGATGATGCTTTCTTCGCGGCCTTTAAGGCGGTTGGGGCGGTCGAAAGAGGAAGTGTTGGGGGTTGAGGCGCCTCTGGATGGGTACAGTTAGGACAAGGGTTCAGAAGATGAGGGGTAAAGAAGATGAGATTGAAAAGATTGAAAAGGGGTGACGTACGGCCTCGGCGCGATATGCAGATAGCCAATCGAGCTGACTGCGTTGAGACGGTTCTTGAGTGCCGCGAAGGCTGATGACTGCGGTAGCAGCATCAGAAGGCCATAAAGGCATTTATAAAGGTAGGGGTAGCGCTCCGGCTCGAGGAGCTGTAGGCGCAGGTCTATCTCCGTGTCAGCTCATCCAATTCATCGTTTCTATCAATATTCCTTCCATAGCACTTACACGTAAACACCGGGGACTCCAGCAGCTGCACCAGCTTGTCGATCTGAATCAACATGTTGACCGTCATCTCGAGCTCGGCACTACACACCACATTAGCCCAGGCTTAAAGAAAAAGAAAAGAAAGAAAAAGAAAACTGCTAGCCAGAGAGGGACGAACAAGATCTGGAGCAAGTTATACGCCTGCTCGTATGCCTGAGCCAGCAAGCACAGCGAGAAGGTAGCGACGGCGTTGTAGCACCACGAGCGGAACAGCGCAACGAAAAACGTCTGTCCTTCCTGTATTTCATTTAAAAAGTCAGCAACCCTTTCAAGCCCGATCCCAGACCCCAGAGTAACGTACCTTAGTTTCCAAATTCCTCAACCTCTTCCTCAAATCCGCCAACTCCGGCGCCGTAATCAAATTATTATTCAAGTTCTGTACCATGATACTCGCAAACTCGACATCCTCCTCCTTTTCTATGCAGTCTGCCAGCGTGCGATATATTCTCTCCGCACTCAGACTAGTACACAGCTGCCGGATGATCAGATTCCCCCTCGTCTCCAGCAACTTGCGATCCGTCGAGAACAGCTGCAGCAGATTCACCATGAAATTCGTAAAGTAATCGTCCTCGCTGTTCCGCGAGATCTGGCTCAGCAGCTGCAGGTCCTTGGTGACGACGGCCTCGGCCGGGTCGGACAGGGTCTTGAGCAGCGCGGGGAAGGTCCCGTCGTTGAAGGCTAGCACCTTGCGCGGCGCCTTGCGGTGCAACATAATCAGCCACGTCAGGGCCGCCACGCGGGTGGCCTCGTGGTCGTTGAGGAAGAGCAGGGTGAGAGAGTTCACCGCAGCCGCGTAGTCCAGATCGGCCTGAGCCTGCGGCATGGACGGCTGGCTCGGTGTCGGCGTGCGCGGGGCTTGTTTATTCTGGCTCTGGGCAGGTGTCGGGCTGCGGACCTCGAGCTCTCTTGATCCCGAGATAGACGCCCTCGCACTAGCGGTGCCATCCTGCGACGGTCCCGGAGTCGCACGCGACGACGACGACGGGCCCGGCACGGCCTCAGCCTCATCAGACAGCGACACAACATAATCCATAAGAGAGGTGTTCACCCTGGCAGCCGCCTGGCGAATAGACTCCACGCCGCTAGCCATGGCCGGAAGCAGATGGGCCAGGATCTTGGGCGTGAAGGGGAGCACCTCCTCGGGACAAATGTCCAGAAACTCAACAATCCAGCGCAGCGCCTCGAGCAGGCTGTCCTCTTCTGGTAACATCATGGAGTCCTTAGCCGGCATGTTCCAGGGCCAGGGGCGAGCTATTGAAGTGGTGTTGGAGGTCGATGACTTACCCAAGGGCGAATCGAGCGTGGCCGTCAGGATCTCGAGAATGGCTTTGTAGTTGATCTGCACGTCCTGGCCTGGGACCCAGTCCTCTTCACTGTCCACCTCGTCTTCGTCTTCGTCATTATCATCATCATCATCATCATCATCATCATCACCATCGTCGTCATCGGCGGCAGTCTCGGAGTCGACGCTAGCACCCTCCTCCTCGAGCCGCGGCCGGGAGCTGGCACTAGCAGCTGAGTCGAGGCGCCGACGCCTCTCCTCGGCCTTGGACTTTTTGCTCTCGGCGATGCCTTTTTTTATGCGAGCGATGCGCTTGATCTCCTCGAGGAACCTGTCCAGACACTTTTGCGTGGTGACATGGACGTCTCGGTTCGAGTCGCTCAAAAACCGCAACAATCCCCCAAGGAATTCAGGCAGGTATGTGACCAGCTCGAGGTCCGGGATCCCGTCCAAGAGAGTAATCCAGCCGACCAGGAAAGTTCGGGTGAAGGGGTTGGTGACATAAATGCGGTCGCGTAACAATGGGATGAAGCGCTTCAGCGAGAAGGCTGTCGGCGGCTCAGTCTCGTCAGCTGGATCTTTGTCGGGGTCCTGATAGGACGGCGGCTGTTCCAGCACAGAGACGTAGGTCGCAGCACTCTCGGAGACGATATCCTTGATCAGACGGTCGAGCAGCTCGGCTCCATTCTTAACGGACGGCTCCGAGTCGGCGCCGAGCTAAACCGGTCAGCATACGAATGAATGCACAAAGGGAAAATAAAAATAAAAAACGAAAATGAAAAAAAAATTTAAAAAAAGAAAGAAAGA